CTATAAACCCGGGATCGGAGTTGAGCTAGTAAGTGTCTAAGTACACGAGGATTAAATTATATTTTGGTGCCTAAGTGCACTTAAGGTGTTCTAAACACTAGGGGATAGGATTTGTGGTGCATTATGCACTTAAGGTGTTTCTACACCGAGCTAGTTTAAAAAGGTTCAACATTAAATTATTTGTGATCGCTAATTATTTAAGAATTAAATTGGTGTGTATGATTTCTTGAATGAATTATGTGTGTTGGTTGTTTCTTGATTTAGAAGTCATCACCTAGTCTAATATGTAACTAACGTAAAGTGAAAGAGATTACGCACCAAAACTCTTGGAACGTATACACCTAGAGTATGAACATATGGGAGGAAGTTATGCGACTTTATATTTGACCATAACTTTTACTGGGAGTACATGACGATGTATTTTCCTTTTTATTATGCGTAGGAATTTCGCCACTTACGAGTAGTTCTTTTATATTGGCACAGTTAGCTCCCATGTTAGTACCCCTTTATTAGGGCAGGTTTGGGGGGAAACCCATTCGATGCGTAATCAAATTAATAAGTAATTGAATTGTCTATTGTCTGAGTTGTATGATGGGTGCTTGTTACAGGTGCTAATTAGGTAAGTTGTGTGATGGTAGGTTGTAAGCATGTTAGTGTGTTTCGTTTACGCTTATATAGTCAGCATTGCTGATTGTGTGTTTGTATGTTTGTTGGCCTTGTCTTTATCTTAGGCCTACGAGGACCCATTTCTTATGGCGAGTAGTGGGGACAAAGTAAAGGGAAGCTTTTCAGGTGATGCGACATATTCTTGTTTGGGCAAGAGTGATGAGCGAATCTTGTTTAGTTTCTATAAGAATATGATGTGTTTTGTTTGCTTTGAATATTATTTATTTATTATTAGATTAACGCAATGTTTTTAATTATTCGGTATGGGTTTTGAAAGGGCCTACAATGGTTCCGAGTTGTAGGTTGACTTCGTTTGACTTTGGATTGAATTTACTTTCGTTTGGTTTGACTTTGAAGTTAATTTTACATTTTAAAGGATTTTGAAATGAGTCTTTCGCTATGTGTCTTTGATAATTGCCTTAGTCGTTATTACGGTGCCAGTAATGTATTAGAATTTCCTAATTCGTATTTTAAAAAGGGAAAAATAGGCATTTTAAAGGAAAGAAATTTCTAGGGTGTTACAAGAGGTTTCATGGTCGAATTTGGGCGTATTAATTTAAACCAAATTCGAGGTGAAATTCAAAGCTTTGGTTTTAAAGGTATGTTTTTTTTTTGGGTCGTGGTTGTGGTTTTCGACGGCGACAGTGGTGGTTTTAGGTGGGTGGTGGGGTGATTTGCTTAGGATGGGTGGTTCGGCCGGATTTTTCAGGTTTAGGGTTGTAGATCTAGGTTTGGTTTGGGTGGTAGATTTGGATTTGGGTGGGTTAGGGTTAGGTGAGGTGGGTGAAGGTGGTGGGTCTGGTCATTTAGGGTAAGGGAGTGGGTCTTGTTTGGTTAGGGTGAGTAGTGGGGTGGTTTCATTAGGGTGGGTGGGTGGTGGGTGGGGATGGCTGACAGGCTAAAGTCATATCACCTAATCAAAAGTAATTCCTAAAACCACTAACTAAAATAGATAGGGAAGTAGTGTCGAATCCACAGGGAAACAAGTCTTTCTATTCCTAATTAATTAATATAATCTAAATTATCAAGTAACCAATTTGTTTTTATGAGAATTAAACTAAAGGAAAATAATTAAACTAAGGCAAATTGAATAAGGGAGAAATCAATAATAAAAGGCCTAGGGTATAGGTTCACCAATAAATAATATTCCAGGGTAAAACATAATAATCAATCATCAATGCATAGATTAATCAGATCATAAAGGGTTTTCGCTACGTATTACAATCACATAATTAATCTACCGGTATTAAATCGCATCTCTCGAATCTTGACCTAACCATTTATAAATTAATCTGCGTATTGAAACTAAGCCTAAACATTAATTCTCATCTCTCGAATCTCGAATCAATATTGCATAACTCATACAATTAAACCTGCGCAAATCTAATTGCATAGCATCAAATCAATCAATAGGAAATCAATTAAGCATTGACAATCAACAATAATAAATTACCTCTTCATATTATTTATGGATCCCCGCAAACCCTAACAATAAAACTACTCGTGCATCTTTAAATCTAAACTAAGCAAAGAAATTAAAGAAAGCATAATTAAATTAAGCAATTAAATTACTGAAAGTTAAAAGGAGAAGAAATCGTTACCAAGATAAACGAAAGTAAAGAATTGCATAAACCAAAAGTGTGGAGAGAGAAACAAGAGTATTAACTAAAAGCTTAAAACTAAAAACTAAGAAGTAAAACTAATGAGAAAAGTAGAGAGAGAGAGAGAGAGAGAGAGAGAGAGAGAAGGTCCCCAAACTTGCTTAACAAAAGCGTATTTATATTAAACTCAGAAAACCTAAGCTAAAACGAAGGTTAATTAAAAGTGCTAAACGAACTCAGAAACACGCGCCCGGTCGGGCGCCATCTCGCCCTGCTGGGCGCGCCTTCGGGCGAGGGCTTGCCCTGCCGGGCGAGCTCCCGGGCAAACTTGGACTTCTTCAATTGGGCCGTTTCTTTGCCCAATTCGCATTTCCTCTTTGGGTTTTGAATACATAGTCCATTGCCCCGAACTCTTCTTCTTCGCTGAGCCTTTAATCACCGATTTGATGACTCCAACCGGTCCTGGGCTTCGGAATGTGGTCATATGAATGCGACCTTACTCCAATGCTCGTAGCGGCTCCAATAAATCAGGGAAAATGCTCCAAATCCGCAATTTCCTATAAAACAATACCAAATCTACGAAAACACTAGAAAACGCATATTAGTAACAAAAGTATCTCCGTAGAGCTCAAAATAAACACAATTATGACCATTGGGACGGGGAATAAATATATATATAAAATAGACTTATCAAACTCCCCCAAGCCAAACCTTTGCTTGTCCCTAAGCAAAGCAATGAATAAATAAACTAAAATTTCACCCCAAAAATAATTTAAATTAAGCACAATCAATTCAAGGCAAATCCAATAAATATGCATCAAAGTCAACCAATCAAATCCATCCAACTACTCATCCTCCCTAAAAATTGTCAAGTAGAGCGAACCACAAGTGTATATGAAATTCAAGACTAGTTCTCACGCACTCTTCGCTCTTTTATGTGGCGAGTAAAAGATGCACTCGATCGCTCTCCATCCAACCCCTTTAAATGTAAACAATGCCCTCCCAAACTCACAACACTCGTGTGTTTAAGAAAACAAGCACTCAACCTAGCAGTCGACTCGAAATATATCAAATCATTCTTTGCATTGGAAAACAACTAATTTCACATTCACACAACTCTTTGCACAAAGGTCGGAAGGTCTTTAAAGCTTGTTATGTAAGGCTAGGGTAAAAGGTAGGAAATATTTGGAAAAATATGAGAGTAAAGCCATGCTTAAGGGAGCCAAATCCTAATAAATAAAACCAAGGTCAAAAATAAATAATGACCAAATCATCTCCAACACAACTCAACTCTACCAAAAATTCACCAAACATCCAATTATATTAAAAATTCCCAACTATTAAAATCTCACTCATAAAAATAGACATTAGAGAATTAGAGTGAATAAACAAACTTTGAACTCCTTTTTTTCTTGAGCAACCTTCAATTAGAACACTTGAACATTGAAACAATTTATCCTCTTTTGTTCCTTTCTTTCCTTTTTATCTCACATTGGAATTTTCAACTTTGAACAATAATTTTTCAGTTTTCCAATCCACAAAAATAAGAACAAATTAATAACTTATCATATTCACCCACATTGTGGAAATTATGTGCACACTACAACTCCCTCACCTCACTAACTATTAGCTCCCCCTAGCCAAGCTTGGGACTAGTAACCAATGGGGCTTAAATAGGCTTGTAATGTGGCTAAATAAACAATAAAAAGTCAAGGCAACAACATGGGTAGCAAGAAGGGAACAAAAGTATCTAACATCATCTGAAGGCTTCCTAAGAGAACAAATGCCTTCGTCATCCTCAATGTGCATAATAATGATTCATACAAATATTACTCATTGTTAAAAACCAATACTCAACTTCATTGACATATCAGGAACTAACACACAATTCCTAACCAAATCAACTAGCCGAGCACCAAATCCACAAATAGTTGGACAAAATAGACTCATATTAGGGCATCCAAGCAATCAAACATCAAATCATGGCTAAACTATCCACAATACTCATCATCATATACCAAGAATTAAAACAATTTTGAAAAATTTTCATGTATGGGGCACAGGGAAGCTTGATTCATAATTCATTGGATCGTATTTTTGTATTTTTTTTTATTATTTTTAGAAGAAAATAAAATCTAAACTATAAAGCAATAATAAAAAAAAAACTAAACTAAGCACACCAAAGAAAATAAAAAGAAAAAGGAAAGAAAGAAAACTTATATATACAAGAAATTCCCCCCAAGCCAAACCAGACAATGTCCTCATTGGCTCAAAGGGAAGAAAGTAACCCAGGCGACTACCCCGCATCATCAAACTTGTATCCATCACCATCCCAAGCATTGAAATGCATCACCTTGGTACAATTCTGGACAAGAAAGAAAAAAAAAAACATTAGTAGGAAAAGAGGTAAAAATGAGTCAGGCTCACTATTTCGTTCATAACCTTTTTTATACAAATGACAATGCAGTGATTTAATTGCATTGGAAAGTAGACTTGAAGAGATTTCCAACGTTAGATCACACACAAAATTTCGTTAAGAAACGCAAAAGTTATGGTGTCTTGAAGTTGGCCCGTTTTGCTGTCCCGCTCACGCGCCCGGTAAGGCGGCTCTTCGCCCGGTCGGGTGAGTTTAACTCTTTTTTCTACCTTTGTTCTCGCGCTCAGTCGGGCGGTTGTTTGCCTGGTCAGGTGAATTTTGGGCCAAAATCCTCTTTTCTACTAGTTGAAAAATGAAATATGCACCGCAAAATGCGCACCGGTTTTTAAAAACTGGTGCGAAAAATAATAGGCGGGATTGAGGGGAAGACTTTTCGTACCGGTTCTAACCAAACCGGTGCAAAAAATGAGTTAATCGCACCGGTTTGGTTCGAACGGATGGGAAAGCTATTATAAAAAAAAGGGCCTTATCTTCTTTCTTTCTCTTTCTGTATTATGTATTTCTCTTTCCTCGATCTATCCTCCTCTCTCATTTGCCTCTCAGTCTCTCTCATCTACATCAATGGAGCCTCAAACTCCTTCTCTCTCCTTCAATCTCCTTCTCCATAACCGCCGCTTTCCCTTTCCTTTTCTCTCTCCTTCGATCTCCTTCTCCATAACTGCGCTGCAAGCAACGCCGCTCTCCTTCTCCTACTCAGTCCGAAATCGGCCGCCATCAATTTGAAACAAATACAACAACAACAATAAACTTGAATTAATTATCGATTCAAAGATCACAAATTCGAGGTATGTGCTCTTCGATTTGAAATCTAGGTTTTATGATTTTTTTTTATTTTTTTTATTAATGATGAACAATTGAAATTTTGAATGCAATTAGGGTTGGTGTGTGAACCATCAAATAGTTGAATTTCAATTTTTGGGCGTTTGAAGGCGTTGTTCTGGTTGATGCGAAGCCATATATGGTTCCATTTGAATACAAGCCGTATTTGGATTCCAAAACATTGTAAGTTAAAATTCGATTTGTTTTGTTGAATAGGATAATTAGTTGAAGGTTTATATTGTTGAAGGTGTATATAATTTATTTAGGGTTGGTTTATGAGTTGATTGATTGCATTAATTTGGTTTATGTGTGTGGGAATTCAGCTTATTGTCTATTTAGAAATTGTCTGAGGTTGTTTTACTGGAATCACATTAGGTTTAGTTCTTTGGATTCTTTGCTTGAGAAAAATCTTGTCTTTCTTCAGGTATAATAATTTACACTGCATTTTTATTTTTTTTTTCCAGAGTTTTTTGCAGAAAATTTCATGGATTAGTGTTGAAATGTTTTATTTAATTACTTTATTATGGGGTTGTGATTTTGTTGAATGATGCTGAAATCCCATGTTTTATTTTTTATAAGTAATTTTAAATGGGGTTGTGTTTCTGTTGTGATTCATGTGGAAATCTAAAAAAAAAAAAAATAGTTTTTGTGGGTTTTTGTTAAGTATAACATAGAAAAAAATTAAGTCTTTTTTTTTTAATCTATGACTTATGGTGTGGATTTTGTCTATATTTGTATGATTTATGCTTAATAATATTAGTGTGGGTATAATTTATTAGGGAAAATGTTCGCTTTTGATTGATGCTGATAATAATATTTTAGTAGGGTGTGGAGGAGTGTCTACAGTTTGGACGAAACCTTAATTACTCAAATGCACCAAGTGATACTATTTTCACCCTAAAAGGCGGCTCATCTCTTGTCCCTCTAAGCATGAATGTTCCATTAATATGTTTCCCTTCTTGGTCCTTAGCCTTCATATCCCCTTGGTCAATTGGTTGATGCTCAGATTAGTTACAGTCTCTGTTCAGTGATTATCTGTATTTATAGCTTATCTTATTTCAAGAGATATCAGTATCATTCTCAGGAATGAAAATGTTCAGGCCACTCTTTTGTGTTTCACCTCCTGGGGATGTTATTCTTCTGGTTCTAACTAGAACATTTTCAGGATGATCTTGCTTTCAAGTTCGAATATTTGCATCCATATATCGATGGTGTATATAATCCCAAAAATCGCACTTTCCAAACAAGCTTCTTCAATAGCAGAAAGCTGAATCTTGTGTTTACTGGTGGCCTAGGACTGGATGAAGTTCCTCCTATCTCGGTGGATAGGTCTGGTGTGAAAGCTAATATTACTGAGGTTGGTACTTGATTCTAAATTTGACTTTGCTAGCCTAGTTCTATATTGTTTCTTCCTCTCATATTAGTCATATTTGTTACAAAATGATGTCACTTTTGCAGAATCTTACCCGGCAGAGCAAGGTTACTTATGGGCTCGTGGTTGAAGAGATAACAACACGAGATGAAAGCAGCCATATCGCCATAGCTGGTCAAAGGGTGTTGCCTAATGGTGGAATTAGTGTTGATGGACCCCCAACAACTTTAAGCGATACTGGTATTGACCGAGTGGCATTCTTACAAGCAAATATTACACGAGATAACACAAAGTTTGTAAATGGAGCTATATTTGGTGATAGAAATGTGTTTTAGGTAACTTTTGTGTCCTTCCTTTTTGATCAGTTTCTCCCATTGTACTAATGTATTGCATCAATGCCCTATTTTTAATATAGCTATTACAGGAATGTATTAGACATAGCACCCTAATTTACGATTATTTAAGTCTTTATAGTCATGAAGATTGACTGACGAATGAAACACTATTGCTATGAACACCTTAGAAACAGACAGGAATTCTCCTTGTTCGGAAGTGGTCTAGCATAGTTTCCTCTTTTGCACATTGTAGATTTCACCTATTATCTATGCAACATTCCAATTTGAGCAGCTTAAGTCACATATCTTATGGTTATGAGTTTACAGGTTTTTCTAAGTTTAAAAATTCTAGTATAGATAGGTTGGTTGCAATGATTTGTTTTGTTGGGGGCGGGGTGTGTGTGTGTTTGGGGGGGGGGGGGTACAAATTGAAAATTATGTATGGTTGTGAATGAACCCTTGAGGTTGAGCATATGCTCTCTTTGTTTAATGTCCCATGTCAACTTGCCTAATGTAGTAATAAAAAAAACTCTAGTTTGAGTTTTTGAGGTCTAACCCTGTGAGGAGGCGGGGTAGGCTGTGTCAACTTATTTCCTTAATTGTTTTAACATTTTAACTTCCCCAACTGAGCTTTAGCTGTTTCTGTGCAATATTGTACTTTTCCATGAAGTCATTATTTTTTTAGTCTGTACATTTTGTGTAATCTGTCCCAAAATGTTAGCTAGACTAGATGCTTTATTGAGTATGGTAGTTTGTTAGCTGTCTTAACCAGATTAATGTTGGAATTTCTCAATCAATAATAAGTTGGTTTGAATTGAAGATGTCAAATGGTACTCCATAGTTACTAATTGTGGTAATATAAATTTTTTTGGAGACATCCAAAAAGGAGCTTGAACAAACATTAGGCAAAATGGAAAAGGAGGTACAATTCTCTTATGTCATTGATGGTATAGCTTTACAAATTAATTAGTACTTTCTGTGTATAATGATAATGCTAGTGATTTACTTAGTACAATATATTAAAGATGAGAATTTTATACTTTAATTTGTGGCTTTGGACAAAATTGGATTTTGTCTAAGTGCATTACCAAAGCTCGAGTTTTTTTCCCATAAGTGATCTCTAGAAATAGCAGAGCGCCACCAGCATAGCACCACAGCAGCCGCAGCAGAACCAAGCAAACACAGCAGCCTGACCTAAAGCAGCCAAACCAGCAAGCAACACAACACTACAGCAGAGCAGCTAACACCCAGCACAGCCTGACCATAACAAAACAGAAACACAACAGCTCAAGAACTCAAACCAGTCACCCAGCCAGCCTGAACAGAAAAGAGACACAGCCACAGAAGCAAACAGATGCCCAGCCAGCCTGAACAGGATAGAGGCACAGCAACGCAGCAGAACAGAAACAGCCGCACAGCAAATAGGAGAGCAGCTTGTCAGCCTGAACACACAACAACACAGTAGCCAGCAGAGCAGCAGCCAGCACAAGACCAGGACAGGTCCTGCTGAAACTCAGACCACGAACAGGACAGCAACACAGAACAGTAGCAAAATAGAAGAAAACTAACAGTCACTAAAACAATATGTTGTTCTTGAGCCCTTGAAGCCACTTACAATGTTTTCTTGTCCATTTTTAATGAAAATATGTAACTTTATATATATGTTAGTGTTTATATGTCAATTTAAGTGAAAAAAATGCAAAATACAAAAAAAAAAAAAATTATTTTTTGGGGCATTTTTGGCACCGGTTTTGGAACATAACCTGTGCTAAAAGTTTGTTTTTAAATTGTTTTTGGCCACTTTTCGCACCGGTTTAAAGCAAGAACCGGTGCTAAAAGTTTTTTTTTTAATATTTTTGGGGACTTTTTGCACTGGTTCACATCAAAAACCGGTGCGAAAAATAAGTTTTCTCACCGGTATGAACTGGTGCGAAAAGTCTTGGGATTTGGCATCCCTCAAATCAGATTTGGTTCAAAACCGGTGCGAAATGGGGGTTTTGAACCGGTGCGAAATGGGGCTTTTAGGGGCATTGTGTAGATTAAAAATAATATTTTCATCCCCTACACATAATGTAAGTTTACCACTCTCCACATCTATTATTGCTCCTGCAGTATGAAGGAATGGTCTACCTAAAATAATCTGAATTTGCAAATCTTCCTCCATATCAAGGACAACAAAATCAGCAGGTATATAAAATTTACCTACTCTAACAGGAACATCTTCTAAAACACCTAAAGGATATTTAAGAGAACGATCAGCCATTTGTAGAGTAATATTGGTAGCTTTTAAATTACCCATATATAATTTAAAGCTCACAGATAGTGGCATGACACTTACACTAGCACCCAAATCACATAAAGCTTTATCAATCATTAGATTGCCAATGTGACAAGGAATAGAAAAACTACCCGAATCTTTTAGCTTAGGTGGAGATTTATTCTTTAATATAGCACTACATTCTTCAGTAAAAGCAATTGTCTCTACCTCACTAATAGATCTCTTTCTGGTCAAGATTTCTTTCATAAATTTAGAATATGTAGGAACTTGAGTAATTAATTCTGTTTCGGGGTTTTCTGAGGTGTCCTGTAGGAGAGTTACAATTCCGAGACTGAGCTGCCGACGCCTGTACCTGCAAGATCACGAAGACTCCGATTGGTAGGAGCTCCGCCTCCGACGATCAAGTTAGTATACGTATAGGAGGAAAAAGTACGGAAAAGGTAAAGTACTTCTTGCTGATTGGGAGAATTCTGCAATAATATTGCTCGGTAAATGTGTTTGTATTTATGAATGTCCGATTAATGAGGTTTGTTCCACTATTTATAGTGGGACAGACAAGTCCCCCATGTAGGGTTCCAAGGACACGTGTCAACAGGGGATTGGAGCCTTGTTGACTAATGGCGATACGCCACGTGTCACCAGCCCATTGGGCCACGTGTCTAGGGTATTTTTACCCTAAACATTTGCCCCTCATAGGTGCTGACGTGCCTCTCTCTCTCTCTCTCTCTTTTTTTTTTTTTGAATCCCTTGGATTCTGGCTGTTTGGGTAAAAAGGCGGGAGAAGCAGAAGGTGAAGAGTCAGGAATCTTCGCCTTCTGAGGAGGAGCCTATAAATAACCAAGTCCCCTCCCCAAGCCCTCATTTACAAACATGGAGAATTTTCTGATTTTCGAGAGCAGCCGGTGTTGAGAGCATTTCTGAGATAGTTTCCGTGTGAGCATCTGGTTTATAACCGTCTGGGGGGTTTAATAGCAAGCTGAATTTGCATCTACACTTCAAACAACACAGCTGGCTCAAGAGACGCCTTTGTCTTCGCAAGCAAACCCAAGAAATTCCCAGTGACTAAGCGGTTTTCTCCCTCTTTCTTTTAGGTACTGCCTCTATTCTTTCAAGCTCTTCCATGTATTTACGCTTGAGTCTTTTGTTTGTTTTCTCATTTATTTGTCCCATAGTTAGATGGACCCTTTATACCCCTATCCGGAACATAATAATGAGACCACCCAGTCCGTTAGTACGGCTGAGTCTAGGACTGGAAATACCGCCTATAGACTCTGGGATTTGCCTTGTTTGTCTCCCAATCCGATCGTCTTCGTGTCTGTGCAGGACACAATGGCCAGAACCAGGAAGATGGCTGTGGACTCCAATTACAGAGGCGGGGGCTCTGACGAGTTACCGCCTGATGAGAGGGCCCTAACTTAGGCGGCCATGGGATCTCTCGGAGGTGCCACTAGTACGCCTAGTGATGGCATTCTAGGCTCTGATCAGGGAGGTGAGGAAGCCGCCTCTGTTTCTGATGTGAGGGAGCAAAAAAACTCATCCCAGGAGGCCTCCTCTTCTGCTTCCGGCTCTGCACTCGAACCTGTGGAGAGCAGCAGTAGCTATCTAACACCATCCGTCAATAGTGAGGAGGAGGAGAGACCCTCGTGGCAAACTAAGGGTGATCCTTTGATGATCACCGTCTCTGCCAAAGATAGGGTCATTATGCGGAATAACTTGGCAGATTTTGTCCTCAAACGACCCCTTGGGACTGGATATAGACTGGCGGTCCCTCCTGAGAAGGGGACAATTTCCTGGGAGGATGACCAGCGCAACGCAAACGGCTGGTTTGGCTGCTACGAGGCGGCATTCTTGGCGGGCTCTGCTTCCCTCTTCATGACACAATAAAGACCATACTCAGGGGGTATGGCCTGGGCGTCTGGAAACTCACCCCCAACTCCTGGGTGAATATTCTTGGGTACATTGCCGCCTATGAAATGCAGGATCTGAACCCCGGCTGGGAAGCTTTTTCCCATATGCACTACTTGAGTAGGAGCCTAGGCGGCTGGAGAGCCTGGTATACCCTGACCACTTACCCCCAGTACCTCATGACACTCAACAAACCGTCTAAGTGGTCGGACTGGAAGAACCGCTTCTACCTGGTCAAGGTTCCAACCGACGAGGAAAACAGGGAGTTCCGGACATACAACCGGAAACCTGAACTTTTGGGGCAGAAACGCCGGATGCCCCTAGTGCTGGAGGGGGATAGAGAAGCAATACTGGACTCCAGCTTTTTTGAGCTCGTCCCTTCCACCCTCTCAACCGAAGAGATAATAAGGGTGCCCAGAAACTGGGTTCCCAAACATGAATTTTTAAGGGACGAAGTTTTTTTGTCCACCTGTAGACTTAGCAGCATGTTTGAAAAACGTAGGTTAAGAGCCTCAGCCGGCTAACTTACGCCGGCTGACAATTTTCCTTTGATTACAATGCCTGTCTGTTATTGTTCAGACCTTGACCGAATGCATTTGATTTGTGTTTTGCAGAAGAAGCAAAGGACATGTTGCCAACAGAAAAAACGCCTGCCAAGAAAGCTTCAGACATCCGTAAGGAGAATCTGGAGAAAAAGCTTGCTGCCCAGGCGGCTAAGAAGGTTAGACCGTCTGATTTATCTTTGATTTATTTGCTTTACTTCCGTTTTTTGCTCGTTTTTCCGTCTGACCTTTTGTTGCTTCGTTTCAGGATGGGAGCAAAGCTCCCCGTTCCCTACAGAAGAAGATTCGGCCGAGGTCGACTGTAGTGGAGCCCGCATCTAAGGTGCAAAAAACCACATCCACCGTCTGGCCCTCTACCGGCGGTAAATCAATAAAGACCCCAGGCGGGTCTACTGCTGAAGCTGTGGCCTCAAAAGAGGTCACACCAATAAGGACCACAACCGGTCCATCAACTGACGGAGGCCAGAGAAGTCTCCAACAACAAGGTACAAATCCTTTCAACCTCACGCTGCTTGACCTGCCCATACGGGTTAAGTCTTATTCTCAGTCTCAGCCGGGAGATTCTCCGATCAGCCGGCAATCCATAGGCGGAGCATATGCAGCTTTCTCACCGTCTGT